GTGGTCTGGAGTTCAGGGCAACGTCTGGGCTGAAGATAGGTAAGTAGGAGTTGTCAGCCTAATTTTGATATCTCAAGCCTGAGACCAGATGACGTTCCCAAGACACTGAATGGAGACAGAGAAGAGAGTCCTAGTCCCTTGGCCCGGGGCACCCCCATATTTAGAAGTCAGGAGATCTGGAGGAACCAGCAAAAGGAGACTGAGAAAGAAAGCCCAGAAGGGAAGAAAAAAATGGGCGAGTATGATGTCCTGGTGGCCAAAAGCTGCTGGGAGTTCAGGGAAAGATGAAGGTTGAAACTTGACCATGGGATTAGCTATGGGAACATTGGCAAGAGCAGTTTGGGTGGTCTATGAGGAGCCAAAAAACCCTGACTGGAGGGAATTCAAGAGAGCAGAGAAACGCAAAAAAAAAAAAAAAATGGAGATAATGAATCAAGACAACTCTTTTGAAGAGTTGTGCTATAAAGGAATGTAAATAAATGGGGCAAATGCTAGAAAAAATGGGGTCAAGGGGGGTTGTTTATTTGTTTGTTCTTAAGATGGAGAGATACCAGCATATTTGTTATAATGGGAAAGATTCAATGAAGAGCAAAAGAGCAGCGATGGAGGAGAAAGAGGCGGTGGAGGGAGGTCTGGTGGGTGAGGAGGGGTGGGATCCAGCGTACGGGTAGAATGGTCGAATTCTGGCAGCAGCTTAGAGAAGTCACACATCACCTCCTTTCTTTGAGGATAAAGTTGTGCAGGCAGAAGTTGTACATGACTCGGGATGTCTTAGAAGGGAAGCAACATTACAGCCTGAGCCTGGGACATCTCTTCCTCCCTAGTCACAGCCCTAGACACGCCGGAGCAAGGCTGGAAGTCCCCTCCACCTGGCCTGTTTTCCAGTGGGTTCTAGCTGCCCCACCTCTCTGCTCAATGGAAGAGAAGGCCTAGAGCCCTGCTGCACACACACAAACACAGGGACAATCCCAGCCAGAGGGACAAGGCCCTGCCCCTTCCCGGGAAGCCCCTGCCTGAGGCCGGGGCAGACTTGCAGACACAGATCTGAGAGCAAGACCAGCCTGGGCTGGAAGGAGTACAGTGACAGGCTAAGGACCTGCCACCCCCAGAGAGCAGGTATGTGTCGGCCCTGAGGGAAGTGGGGGTGGCTGGGACAGCTGCCAAGGCCCAGGTAGAGCGGGGCCTTCCCCTGCGGCTGGGGGACGGCCTAAATGCCCTCCCACGCAGCAGTCACCCTGCCGGGGAGCAGGGCTTTGATGTGGGGCAGCAGGGCCCCAGAGCCTCTTCCTGGAATGGAGACTCTCCCAGCTCCCTCTAGAAAGGGCAAAGGCCGGCTGTCAGGGTCACTGCTGAATGTCAGGAGTAAGGGGGCAGCATCCAGAAGGGTCTGAACGATTGGACCTAGGCAACAAAATCACCGGGTCACCAGGGCAGAACAACCCCGCTGCACACAGACCACCTCCACAATCCCACAATCCCACACAGTCACAACCACACACACCAAATATACACACGCCACACCCCATGCTGCCCCTTTAACACACAGCTACCCAGTCTCAAGTACAAACAGCTCACACACATAACCCTATGTGCAGCCAACAGGTACTTCGCAGGTATCAATCATAACTGGGCTCTGGCTACTTCCAGGCCCTGGAGATGGAGCAGGAGCGTAACCAGCGAGCTCCCTGCTCTCTGGGAGGCAGTTTCAGGGGGGGCTTTCTGACAAGTGACTGCTGAGAAGTGGGGTGAGATAGCTTCAGAGGGGGTGACCAGCCAATACTCTACAAGAAGCTGAGGCCTTGGTGAGGAGGAGAAGGAGCCTGCCAGGTGAAGAGCAGGTCAGGTGGAGGGAACTGCAGATGCAAAGGCCAGAGGCCGACCGAATAAGGCTGGTGTGACCATCGGTGAGCAGAGACCAAGGGGCCATGTGGTAGGAGGTGAGGCAGGATCAGGTTACTTGGGGCTTTGCAGGCCAGTGTCAGGAGAGTGGGTGTTAGTATAAAGGTAATGGTAAGTTACCACAAGGTTCTAATAGGGGAATGGCATGATCCGGCTAATATTAATGAAGCACTGCTTAGCTAGAAGAAACCATGAGAGAAAAAAACTCTTTTTTAGTTCTCAGAGTGGGGAAGGCATTTCTAGTTATGAGCAAATCAAGAAACCATAAAAGATAAGATTGATACATTTGACTACATCAAAAAAATTAATTCTACACAATGTCAAATACACGTGTCAAACTGGGAGAGAGGAATCCTTTCCATTTGTACCACTGACAGAAGGCTTATTTCTTTAATATGTAAAGAGCTCCTAAGAAATAAATAATAAAGAAGTCAATCATCCAATTGAAAAATGAGCAAAGGCAAAGGACAGTTCACACTCTGTTTGTTCTCACTCAGAAGGGAAATGCAAATGAAAACTATAATGAGATACCACTGGCAAGGATCGTTCAGTTTTATCATGTTCTATATTGGCAAGAATATGAGCAAACAAGCCCTCTTGTGTCGACTGGCAGAATAAACTGATACATCTGTGGAGGGGAGTTAGCAATATTTAGCAAAATTTTAAATGAGCCTACAACTTTAACTAAAAACTTCCACTTCTAGAAATACATCTAATGGACATAATAAAACATGTGATCACCATGCTTTGTCCAAGGATATTTACTGAAATGGTTTTTATAATGGAAGTAAATACAGGATTGGAAACAGCCTTACTTTTCATTACTATAGAATTGATTGCATATATCATGGTACTTACACTATTCAGCTGGCGTTTTGGTTGCTGTTGTTCTGGTTTGGGGGAGGTTTTTCTGTTTTGTTTTGTTTTGTTTTTAAGCAGCTCTATCTCTACTGATGAGGGAAAATAGAATACCATTCAGCTATTTTTAAAAAGAATGAGCTAGTTCACTAGCTACTGAGAACAATGTGCTACACTTTGTTACACAAACACAGTGAAGCACAGCACGCGTGCATAGCATACCGTCACCAGGTAAATGTATGAAGGAGAACGTCTTTGTAGTCAGAGATGCACAGTTGATCTCAGGAAGGAAAAACAAGTAACTAGAAACCTAGTGGGCGAGGGGCAGCCCTGGCTACCTAGTCTGGTGCTTGGATAGAAGTCAGGAGTCATGCTACCAATGCAGGGTTCATCACTGAATGGACGGTATCGGAAGCCCCAGGATTGGGTGAGCTGACCCAGGAGCCAGGAGGCGGAGCCCTGGGACGTGCCCACATGAGACCAGAATGGCAGGCCTCCAAGGTACAAGGGAACAGAAAATATGGTATCAAGGAAGCCAAAGGAAGAAAGTGTCTTGAGGAGCAAGGGGTGGTCAGCTGTGCAGGTGCTTCTAAATGCCCCGGAGGACAGAAGCACAGAGGTGACGATTCCATTTATCATCACGGAGATCCATGGTGACCTTGACAGGGTTGTCTTTAGTAACAGGGTAGGGACAGAAACGTTGTCCAAACGGGTTGAAGCGTGGCCGGCAGGTGAGGAAGTGGGGATCTGGATTTGCTCTGAAGTGCAGAGGAGCAGCAGGTGGTTGGGAGCAGGTGGCGGAGTCACAGACCCCGTCATACTCATGTCCCCACACCAGCGTGTGCACAGAATCACTGGACCGCCCAGCACTGCTGAGTCTCGGGTCGATTTTCAAGGCCATGACCCAGTGACTGGGGAAGCCTCCAGAGCTGGCTCTGCTCTGATCATGGGCAAGTCGCCTGACCTCTCTGCACCTCCGTTTTCTCATTTATAAGAGTGGAGAAGATCACACCACCACCATCTGGCACTGTGAAGATGAAATAAAGCCCACAGGACATTGCCTGGCAGGAAGATGTCTCAGAGCTGCCGATGCTGTTAGTTCTCCGTCACAGAGACTTTCAACCTTTCTCATCTCACGGCGGCACATACACCAATTACTAGAATGCTGCAGCACACCAAAATATATATATTTTTTCAGATCTGACAAAAATAGGTATAATTTTGCTCCACTAACACTGGACAGCTATTGTTGTGTTGGCTATTGTCTTTTTTTTTTTTTTTACAGTCTAAGGCATAAGAGCTCCGTGCCTGGGACTAAACTACTCAGGTATCACAGGTTTTAAAAATTCTTGTGGGCACATAGGTTGAAAATCACTGCTCTATCACAACGAGTAGGGTGACGGGTGTGATTAATCTTTGGGGGCACTTAGGAGAGTAAAGGGGTGTGCCGTTAGTTACACCAGAGCCACGGGCATTCGTGAGCAGTCCTGGGGAAAATGAGTCACTCTTGTGCCAGCAACATCATCGCTGCAGAGCCTGCGAGGGCTGCCCTACATGACTAAGGTCCCGGGACTCCTCAGGGAGACCAGGGACACCGGGGTTTCTTCTTCGGACAAGGCTGGGGCTCCAGGGGCTCTCGGTTTCCTAATCAGGGCACGCTAGTAAATGAGACAAAGCGTCCCAGTCCGCAGAGCCCAGCCAGCTGCAGGCCTGCCTCCCTGGGCAGCAGGGGCACCCACCCACCACACCCTACTCCCACAGGATTTGCCCACTGTAGGAACTCCACGCAACGACAGGATTCACTTCGCCCCTTCCCACTGGGGTTCTCCAAGGCGCACGCGCTTCCTCCGAGGACGACACAGCCTGAGGCACCAGCCCGTGGAGGACCCGTCGTGCTGGCAAGGCAGGTCCCCAAGGGTGCCCCCACGCGGGGTCGAGGCCGGGCGGGGACCGTGACCTGCAGTCTCAGTGGTAACGCGCGTGGGTGAGTCGTGATTGCAGCCCGTCCCCAGCCACGGCACTGGGCAGTTTAACGTGCTTCACGCCCCTAATCTCATTGGAGACTTTGCAACAGCCCTGCCCATGGCCACGGATGCCCCTGCTCACAAGAAAAAGCCGGGGCTCCCTCCTGCCCAGGTTGCCCTGGGAACCCGCGGCCGCGTGGGGGCTAGGACCCGACCCTCTCGGCCCTGCAGGCGCCGGGCTCCTCCCCCGACCCTCCCTCCTCCACCGTCCCTAGGGTGTGCCTGCCTCCTCCCGCGCCTCCTCGCCACTGCGGAGCCTCTGCTGTGGGCCTCCAGGACCTGGGGTCCCGGCCCCGCGCCGGCCGCTCTGTCGCGGGTAAGTGCCAGTGTGAGCGCCCCCACCCGGCCCCCAGGACGCTGAGCGCCCGCGGGACCGGATCCTGCCCACCGCGCCAGGCAGAGGATGGGGCGCCGGGGAGCCGGGCGATGGGGGCCCCCACCGCATCCTCTGTGCTGCCTTCGTGCCCCTCGATTCCAGGAGGGAGTGGGGGCTCCAACTGCCAGGAGGTTCCCAGACACCCCTCCTACTTCTGCAGGCTCCCAAGATGCCTGAAATGACAGAAAAAAACGCGGGAGGCCGGTGGGCGGAGGGAGGAAGTGTAGTATTTTAGATTTTGTTGGAAATCCGCGAAAGCGAAGGACCAGCTTCGGTTATACGCGGATTTTCGACTGCGCGGGACTGGCGCCCCTGCCCGCCGCGTTGTTCACGATGGTCAACCGTAGTTGTGTCCTCGGGGTGGTGGGGGGCGCGGGCGCGACCGAGTGGGCACAAACGCTGGGCGGCGCTCCGTCCAGGCGCCGGGGGAAAACGGGCGGCTGGGAGCTGGTACTGGGGGGCCGTGGGCGGTGGGGAACCAGAACCGGCTCCACCAGTCCCGAGCCAGGGCTCGGAGGGAAATTCTTTGCTGGTGAGTCCGTCCCTGGGGTGTGTCAGGCAGGACTGAACAGACAGGGTGGGGGGGCGGTGGAGCGTGGGGGCTGCGCTGCGCGGGCTGCCGTGGGCAGGGGGTCAAGCGGAAGCTCGTGGCAGCCTCCCTCTCCTCCCAGGGCTGGCACGCAGGGCTCTGACCTCCGCCTCAGTGTCCTCCACCTCCCACCAGGTGAGTGGCAGGCTGGGGAGCGATTGGCCTCATGCTTCTGACAACGGCCCCAGGAAGCAGGACCTGTTTCCCTTTAGAGATACAGGCATGGAGTCAGGGAGTTTGGGGATTCTTGGAAGTCACCCCGCAGCAAGCGGCAGAGCTGAGGCTTAAATCCAGATGTGACCCCACACTCCACGCACATCCCACTGCCACTCCCCGAAGCTCAGGTGTCAGGAGAGACTAGGAGGGTGTCCAGGGGTGGGGTCTTCCGCAGTCACCCTGTCCTGTCCGAGATTCCCAGGGAAGAGGCCTCAGGGGGACTGAAGGGCAGAGAGGGAACCACTCCTTGTCTCCAGAGAAGGGCAGCCTTTCCCCCAAGCCCCCTGGTCCACACCGCCCCCTAGGGCTCCTGCCTGCACGCCCAGCCCCTCCCTCCAAGCGGCCTCCCCAGCAATTCAGCAGTCGTTCGTTTGTTGGTTCAACAAGTATTGAGTATCTACTACCTGCGCAGCACTAGGCGCTAATGGAGCAGTGAGCTAGACAGAACTGACGTTCTAGTGCGAGAGACGATACAATAAATAATTTAAAAACTGTAAATACTTTCACTTCAAGTGGCGAGTAAATGCTATAAAGAAAATAAAGCAGGCAGGAGCAGAGTGACTGGGAGGGAATGGCCTCCCAGATTCAGGGTTTTCTGGGGAGGCCTCTAAGGCAGCGATTTCCAACTGGTGCGTCACAAGAACTTTTAAGACATGCAATACCTGGCTAGTTAGTCTGGGGCACTGACCTCTTTTCCCTCAGATTGTCGAATAAGAAATGACAACCGCCAACACAACACTAGCTGTCCAGTGTGAATGAATCAAAACTATACCCACTTTGTTGGTCAGATTGCCAGCGCTGCAGAATTCCAGTAATTAGTTTACATGTACCGTGAGATGAAAAGGTCGAAAACCACTGCTCTACGGAGATGCTTGAGCAGAGGCCTCAGTGATGGGGAGGGTCAAGCCATGCACGCAAGGTTCTGGAGGAAGAGCATTCTGGACAGTGGGAAAAACTACAAAGCTCTTGAGGTCCCGAGGGTGGCTGGCGCAGAGAGAGGCCGGGTGACAGACGATGTAGGAGAGAAGGGTGAGAACGTAGACTCTGGGGGCATCTAAGTGTCATGAGAAGCTGGCAGAGAGTTTTAAACAAGGGAGTAACAGGACCCGATTTCATGGGCTTTCGGGGTGCAGGAGCCACAGCGAAAGGCCAGAGAGGAATCCATAGCAATTACACCAGCAACAGTTGACGGTGGCCTGGACCAAGCTAGTGGCAGTGGAGAGGTGAGATGTGGCCAGGCGGGGGGGGGGCCAGCAGGCACCACGCATGTTCGGAGTCACAGACCCAGCTCCAGGAGCTCTCACATGTGCATGCAGACAGACACACACACACACACACACACACACAGGGCCACATGCCGTCACACCCACGCAGCACCCAGACACAAGGTGCTCTCAGGCAGAACCGCCCATCCACACCCTCTGAGTCACTCCGGGGCTGAGGAAGGTGTGTGATCTGGAGGCGTGAAGGAAACATGTTTCTGCACCACAAAGCCCTGGCATCCAGCGTGGCCGGGGCGGCTGGGCTCCCCCGGGGCCTGGCGCAGGGAGCTCTACCCAGCTCTTTCTCCGGATCTGGCATCCCCCAGAGCCAGACCACTGCCCCACTTCACACACCCCTCAACGTGAAATGGCTCCCAACTTCGCCACCCGCGGGCTGTGAGGCCTTGGAGAGGTTATTTCCCCTCTTCCAGCCTCAGTGTCCTCTCTGGGAAGTAAGAGTCAGCCCCAGCCTCACAGGACGGTAGCAAGGCATCAGCAAGGTAGGTTCTAAGAAGCTGGACTGAGGCAGACATCCAGCAGAGAAGGGGAGAAAAGATGGTGGTCAGCACAGCCCTGGCACCCACAGTCCAGCCTTGAATCCAACTCTAGGGTTTTTTAAATATGTTTTTACTTAATGATTTGAAAGAGAGAGAGAAACATTGATTTGTCGTTACATGTATTTGTGAATTCACTGGTTGGTTCTTTTGTGTGTGTGCCCTGACCAAGGATCGAACCCATGACCTCGGTGTATTGAGACAACACTCTAACCAACTGAGCAACTTGGCCAGGGCGTTCAACTCTAGTTTTAAATGAGTGACTTGACCCGTCTGCATTCCCCAAGTGGCCAGCGTTTATTGAGCACTTACTATGTACTAAGTGTTTTTGCAACCCTTATCTTCATCTGTAAATGAGGAGCATAATAGTATCTACCTCCCGGGGTTGTTATAAGGATTAAATGAAATCCTGCACATAGATTTTAGCTCTATGCTTGGCTCATAGTAAATAATAAATGGCAACTGTCATTACCAGCAAGTGCACATTCTCTTCCTCCTGGTACACTAGCCCTGTGACTTTGGGCAGGTCACTTACCCTCTCTGCCTATTTATCTGTACTTTAGGAAGGAAAATATTTCTGATCTCACAGAGCCTTTGCAATGACCAAATGAGTCTACCGCATAAAAAGCTTAAAACGGTGCCTTGTACAGAGTAAAAGCTTGATAAATGTCACCTGTTTGTTAACATGGTCTTTCCATTATCCCGTCAGTTGTGCAAAGCCCCCCGCACCCCTACCAGACACCGGGCCCCCGGCGCCCCCACCCGGCACCATGGACTGGAAGACGCTCCAGAACCTGCTGAGCGGCGTGAACAAGTACTCCACAGCATTCGGGCGCATCTGGCTGTCGGTGGTGTTCGTCTTCCGCGTGCTGGTGTACGTGGTGGCCGCAGAGCGCGTGTGGGGGGATGAACAGAAGGACTTTGACTGCAACACCAAGCAGCCAGGCTGCTCCAACGTCTGCTATGACCACTTCTTCCCCATCTCCAACATCCGCCTCTGGGCCCTGCAGCTCATCTTCGTCACCTGCCCCTCGCTGCTGGTCATCCTGCACGTGGCCTACCGCGAGGAGCGGGAGCGGCGGCACCGCCAGAAGCACGGGGACCAGTGCACCAAGCTGTATGACAATGCAGGCAAGAAGCACGGCGGGCTGTGGTGGACCTACCTGCTCAGCCTCATTTTCAAGCTCACCATCGAATTCCTCTTCCTCTACCTGCTGCACACTCTCTGGTATGGCTTCAGCATCCCGCGCCTGGTGCAGTGCTCCGTGTCGCCCTGCCCCAATACTGTGGACTGCTACATTGCCAGGCCCACGGAGAAGAAGGTCTTCACCTACTTCATGGTGGGTGCCTCTGCCATCTGCATCGTGCTCACCATCAGCGAGATCTGCTACCTGATCTTCCACAGGGTCCTCAGAGGCATGCGCAAGAACAGGCCCCCAGGCGGCCGCAACCCCAGATCCTCTGCCAGCCGGGCCTCCACCTGCCGCTGCCACGGGAAGCTGGTGGAGGCTGGGGAGTTGGTCCCGGACCCCGACCGTGACAAGCTGCATGCTTCTGCACCCACCCTGACCCCCATCTGACCACAGGCTGGGAAGCAATACTACGTCTGCCGATGGGGGCAGGTCAGGAGGTACTGCGCCCATGGAGGGGTCCAACAGGTGCTGGGAGTCCCCGCTCTGAATTCACCAAGCTATCCAATTTTCTTGTAGGCAGATACTTTCTGAACTCTGGGCACTGTGCTGCATACCTGAGTATAGGTCACACCACAGCCCCAGTGCCCGCCCTCGGGGGGAGACAGACTTTGAATGTGCTTGAAACAAGCACATTATCTACTGTGCAAGGGGACGCTTAGGGCACTCGTGGCAGGGCTTCCACCTAACCCAGGAGGGGGTGATCAAGCCCAGCTTCCCTGGGGCGTACGGTTCAAGGGGTGAGAGGTGCTTCCAAGAAGAGAGAATGGCAGGTGCAGAGAAGTCTGGAGGTCACAAGAAGGGAGATGCTTGCCCTGGGCTGGATGCACCAGACCAAAGAGAGTTTCCTTTCCCTCCGAAGAAGCACCCAGATCCGTGCGGTGCAGAGGAAAAATTCTCCCAGCAGCAGGAGGGCTGGAGTCCTGAGAACGGATTTGGGAAGAGGAGGAAGAGGCTCTGCTGACCCCACCCCTCCTTGCAGCAATCAGGGATCCTCTGAGTCACCACCACTGCTCTCAGAGAAAGTCCCCTCCCCGACTCCACTCTCTCAGCCTCAGGAAGCTTTTCTCCCACCTTTCTCCACAAATGTGCTCAAGCTGGCGCCAGCCTTTCAGAGCCTGTTCCAGGGGACTCAGGTGGATGTCCTGATGGGAACGTCCCCGTGGCAGTTTCCTCAAAATCAATAAAGGCTGTGTTTTATACAAATTGGCTCAGTCCTCTGTTCTCCCACAGTCCCACCCATAAGACCCCGAGGGCAGGAAAGGTGGCCCTCTGAGCTAGGGAGAAGCCAGGGTGTGGGCTGAAGGTAGATTTGGGCTGGGATTGACAGGTGGGAGCTGGCGTGGAACCTACTGTGATTGGACGTGTGGACACAAGAGGGCGCCATGCTCCCACTACAACCAGGCTTCTAGCACTTTGGAGGAAGACTGACCTGGTACACACACACAATCACTGCCCTCTCATTACAGACAAATCGCAGTCCCTGCTCCGCGTAACACAGTCACTGTCTTTACAACTGCATTCCCACCTTGTGTACACAAAACCCCTGTTAGTCATACTCTCGCTCCTTGGACACTCTCCCAACAGGCCAGCTGTCTCCTCTGAAGGCACGTGGTCCCAGCCTCACCCAAGCATTATTCAGCTCTTTTCATTTTTCCTGAGTATTTTTTCCATGCTGGCCCCTGGCAGGATGCTGGGGCTGCACAGGGAGTAGGAGCAGAGCCCAAAGAGCCTGGGGGAGCCAGAAGCACACTCGTCTGCGTTAACAGCCCTCTGGGGTGGCTCACAGCCCTGTCCCCAGTGCTGTGTGATGCCCTGAAATTTAGGGGACACCAACATCGACATCCAGACCTGAATACAAAGAATAAGGAGGTGCAAAGTCCGTACTGACCTGGAGGAACGTTCAGTGACTATTAAAGCCAAGGCCAGGAGCCAGAAGTCCAGGAGGCAGTCAGCCAAGAGCCAGTGCAGGCAGGGAGAGATCAGGTCACCGTGCAGAGGGAACAGGCTGCGGTTCACCTTCGCTCTCAAGGGTGGCCATCAGTGAGAGAATACACCAGCCCAGTTCAAGGGCCCAGGGTTGGGCAGACACCACCCCCCAGGTCTGAATCACGGCACAACCACAGCACGATCACAGCTTCACCTTGTTACAGCTCGACAAGCTCACAGAACCTTAGTCTTGTCACCAGTACAGGGGGGTTTTATCACCAGTCTTGTCACCAGTACGGCGGGACCCTGACTGCAGGGTCCTGGCAGGAAACAGGTGGCGCATTCAAACCAAATAACTCAAAAGAGTTTCCGGGATGAGGGCTGTTTTTGAAGGTCTCTGCATGATTGAGGAGATCCACAACGGGCTGCAGTATCCTGGGGCTGGCACCAGGGTAGCAGTGGACAGGATTAACACACAGGAGCTGTGGGCTGTGACCAAATAAATACCCCAACTTCACTCTGCCATCTCCTGCTCACACACCGGTGCATTCCAGGGATCCAGCCCCACCAGAAGCCAGAGGATAAGGGCGCCTACTGAGGCGGTCAGCCTCCCAGGGCACAGAGCAGGGTGGAGAAGGGGGAAGCACAGAGCAGAGAGGCAAAGGGACAGAACCTAGGGTTGTTGTAGCAATAAAAGGAGACGCTGTTGGTAAAACATGAGTGCAGAGCTAACATATTTGGTAAGAATCCAGGTTCAACCATGCTTAGGGAAGTCTGCCTGCGGCCCAGGCCCTATGGTACCTCAGGCCCAGCTTGAACTGATGGTTGCAAAGGTCCCAGGGACAGGTGATCTTTATCCACTTGACACCATGCATTCCAGCATCTTCCAGGACATTTCAGCCCACTGGCCAAGGGAGGCTTAGCCATCAGAGCAATCAGAGAACATCACTGGCTATCACCAGCCTGCACTGAGCTTCCAACCTGACCCTGCTTCTCCGGGATGCAGGCCAGGACCATGGATGAGGATGTTCCAGCCCTGGACAGCCCGCCTTTGGCCTGAGAGCTACTTTGAGCATCACAGCTGCATTACTATTCTCATCCAGTAAGTGTTGGGCTAATATTCATCACCCAGAGTCCCCAGCACACATCACTGTCACCACAAGATAGCACTCATGGCCCCTTGGCCTTCTCTGCTCAGGGTACACACCTCTATTTCCTCCTCCCCAACTGCACGAGAATTCACTTGCAAGCTTCCTTCAATCGTGCCTATGACAGATTTCAACTTCATATACACAACCTCCAAGTCTACACCTGCTGCACGATGTAACAGCCACCCTGCAGCCCCAGGGAAACAGAAGGCTGTTTTGCATTCATCACCGTGGTCCAAGACTCATTATGAACTCAATGTTTGCATTTCCCCCCAAATTCATGTTGAAATCCTAACCCCCAATGTGTTGGTATTAGGAGGTAGCACCTTTGTGGGGTGATTAGTCGTGAGGGTGGAGCTCTCATGAATGGGATCAGTGTCCTTATGTGACAATAGGCATGAGCCCTGGCTGGTGTGGCTCAGCGGACTGAGCTCCTACCTGTGAACCAAAAGGTTACCAGTTTGATTCCCAGTCAGGTCACATGCCTGGGTTATGAGCCAGGTCCATGTTTGGGGGGCGGGGTGTGCAAGAGGCAACCAACTGATGTTTCTCTCATACACTAATATTTCTCTCCCTCTCTTTCTCCCTTCCTTTCCCCACACAAAAAATATTTTTTAAAAAGGAGAGACAGGGGAAGGATGCCCTTTCCCTCTCCACCATGTGAGGAAAGGTGGTGAGGACAGCCCTGTGTGAACCAGGAAGAGGGCGGTCACGGAGAACCCAGCCATGCAGGCACCCGGATCTCAGCCCTCCAGCCTCCAGAACGCTGGCAATCTGCTTCCGTTGTTTAAGCCCCTCGGTCCATAGTACTTGATTACTGCATCCCAAGCCGACTAAGACTCCCCCAACATCTCTCACCTGGATCACTGCCACAATCTCCCTCCTGCCCGCCTTGGAAGCAGACACCAGGGAAGAGTAGGAGCACAAAGGATGTTCTGGGGAGGAAGACCCGTGAATGGAAAGGGGACAAAGTAGACAGAGCAACAAGACCTGTGGCGGGGAGCTCTGTGTCCGGACCAAGATGGTCTCGTGGAGAAGTCTGCATTCAGCGGCAATGGTTGGGCTCACTCATTGCCTGGGGCCACCCCAAGCAGAGCCTGGCCACCTGGACAGCTGAAGCAGACCTGCGTGTGTTAGTAAAATGGGAAAAGTCAGTGTTCGTGCTGCCCGTCACCACCAGAACCAGTGAGTAGTGACAAGGATTGAACCTTTATGGACGCTCTGTTCAGATGGCCGGCGATCTGAGAAGATAGAGGGTTATGTACCTTCATAAACCATCTTAATGTGTCATTTCAAGCCGACCTTCTTACAAGAAGAAGAAAGGGCAGGTAAGGAGTCTGGGTTGATAGGATAGAGTTTCGGTCTGGAGGTGATTTCCCTAGTGCTTCTTCACTGGTTGATCCACGGCCGTTTATCTGCATCGCTCGCGTTCCCTCCCTGGAACGCAATGGCTCAGATGCCACCTGCATGGCGTGCAGACCTCCTGGCGCACAATGGCTAAATTGCTTGTCACCTGGAAGGTGTTCATGCATTCCAGTTCCTGGAATAACAGCCTTCCACATGCATTAATCACTTAAGCCTATCAACCAAGGCTTAAAATCTTTAACTTTTGAGTTCCCCTGTCATTAATGGCAGGAGGCCGTCCGCTGACCGGACTCTACACAGCTGGGCAGTAAGGCCTATATGAGAGGGGGGCATCCACCATTCACCACTGTAGTGTATGGCCGCACAGTACCCAGGTTGATCCTGTCAGAACCCAAGTCAGGCTGTGTCACGGCCTCTGCCCAAAGCCCCGAAGCCTCTCACCCAGGCTCCGCCCCGGCCTGCACCTGGGTGTTCCCTTTTGGAACCCACTCCTTCTCTTCACCCACCTCACTCCAGCCACACTGACCTCCTTGCAGTTCCCCAAGTAGGAAATGCCAGGCAGCCTCCTGCTTCGGGGGCTTGGCACTGGAGGCTCCCTTAGGCTGGAATGTTCTCCACTCCCCCACCTCCCCCCCTCCCCACCCCCGCCAGGGCCAGGGGGCTCCCCTCCCTTCATCAAAGGGTGATGATGAAAGCCTTCATCAAAGGCTTTCATCAAAGGGACGTCAGCTGTCAGCCCCTTAATGAGAATGTCTCCTCCCTTCTGTTCAAAACGGAAACTGCACCCTCGACCTTCTCCTCCTACTGTGCCTTCCACATAACATTTATTACCATCAAACAGCTTCCACGTTTTAGTTCATCAGTCTCCCCCAGGGTGGAGTATAAAATCCACTAGGACAGGGATTTCTGTCCCCTGCTTGCTCTTCAGTGCCCAGGACAGGGCCACAGCACCAGGGGCAGTAACTACTTGTTGAATAAATAAATTCATACATGGGCCTGGTGACCTGCCAGGGACTGCAGATGTAAACAAGACCCTGCCTTGCTTGCCCTGGCTGGCATGACTCAGTGGACTGAGTCCTAGCCTGTGAGCTGAAAGGTCACTGGTTTGATTCCTAGTCGGGGCTCATGCTTGGGTTACAGGCCAGGTGTGTGGGGATGGGAGAGGCAACCTATCGAAGTATCTCTCACACGTTTCTCTCCCTCTCTTTCTCACTTCCTTCCCATCTCTCTAAGAGTAAATAAATAAACTCTTTTACAAAAGACCCTGCCTGCCCTCAAGGGGCTCACCATCTAATGGGGCAGGGAGACGGGTAACCAGAAGTAAACAATGCACCAGGTGGGGGAGGGGAGGCGGGGAGCTGCTCAGTGGGGTAGAGAGCTGGACTTGACCTGAACTTGGCGAGACGCACAGGTGGGGATCCGCCGCATGGCAATACGAACGGACTTCACACTCTTAGTGCTGCATTTGAGAGTGGTTAAGACGGTACATAGTCTGTGTTTTTTAACACAAGCAAAACTTTTTAAGTGCATGCAGGGGCAGGACCTGAGCCCCTGAGAGCACAAAGGAACACCTAACCCAGCACAGGACAGCCAGGGGGCTCCGGGAGAAGGCAACCAGAGCAAAGGCCTGACAAACTTGTGAGACTCTGCATGTGAAGGTGCTCCTGGCACAGGGAAGAACATGGACACAGACGAGAGCACCGAGAACAGCAGTGAAGTCTGGCTGGATCACCAGGTGCAAGGGCAAAGGGACGAAGCTGGAGAAGTGGCTGAGGCCAGGGGGCAATGGGGCGCCACAGAAGGGTTTAAGGAGAGCAGTGTTCTGGTCAGGGAAGGGTGCAGGCTGGGTTGGAAGGGGTGGGGCTGGAGGCTGGAAGACCTCCAGCCTCCACGCTATTGGGAGGCTGCTGAGAAGGTGGCCTGAGCAGGGTCAGGGCAGTGGGAACAGAGGGAGAGGTGGGCTTCTAGGGATGTTTTCCAGGGGCAACGGCCAGGTTATGGAGATTGCTCTCTTGGCTGATCCTCCTTTCCCTGGGAAGGGACCAGGTCATTCAAACCCTGACTTCCAGAGCACCTGAAGAAGCAGAAGAGCAGGGTGAGGGCAACCTGGACACCCCCACCTGCTCCTCCCTCCTTCCCAGCAGCTGGACCCAGCAGGCTTTGGGAGAGCCTAGGCCCAGCCACAGGAAAGGGGCTCCGGGAGCAGAGGCTGCAGTGGGGGGCGGGGGGGGGGGGGGGTGACAAGAACCTGCCTCCAGGGACCTCTGTTCTCAGGACCTCAGGGGTCAGAACCAAGTGGGTGCACTCGTCAGCTTTGTGGAACCGCAAGACTCAGCTCAGACTGATCCTGAAGTTCTGAGGTCTGAGCTGAGCCCACCCCACTTGCTGCCCCAAAAGTCCTGCTGGGGCTGAAGGCACTAGGAGTCCAGTGACTAAACGCTTTCACAGAGCAACAAGGACCTTTCTGCCCCAGGCCTTGTCCCGCCTGAGCCATCCCTGCCGCCGCCACTCAGCCCCGGAGCTTCCGCTCCTACCCTCACCCCACCGCCCTGCCCCACTCTGCTCTGTTGACAGAAGGTCCAACCCATAAAGAATTTTTATGAACTTGACTCAAAAGGATACACCTGGAAGCAAGATCTCAACAGACTATAAAATAAATGCTCCCAAGAAGTGACAGTTTGCAGCTCTTTTTTTTTAATGCATTTGGAATTAAGGAGGGAACCTAGGAAAGATTATTCAAAGGTGGGAGAAAATCAAGCAAGGTAAGTATGGGATTACAGCACAGTCGATGAGCTCTTAACTCTCTTGGGAGGGCTCACGCTTTGGAAGAGGGGTCTGAAAAAGGCCTTTGGAAGAGGCATCGACCTTGATTCACAGAAACAATGGACAGGGCTAACTTAAGGCAAAGATAAGCCTTTAACTAAAGACGCCATGGGCCTGGGATGTGGCTACTCTCCTTGTCCTGCCTAGTTAGGAATTTATGATCGAATCGCCCTGTAAGGTTACTTTCCATAGAACCACCCCCCCTTTTATCCACAGTTTCCACCAAGACCAACTCACAAATGCTTTTTGTCACAGACCTTTTGTCGCATGTATTTAGCCACCACTCATTTGAAAGTTGTTTTCTGTGTTCAACCTCCTATCGACCCTACACAATGTTATTGCTTATCCCCATTCTACAGAGGAAGAAACTGAGGCACAGGGGTTTATGCAACTTGTCCAAGGGCACAGGGGTCAACAGCAAAGTCTCGGCTTCAGCTCTACTGCTTCCACCCACCCAGGCAGCCAAGGCTCAGCACCCTGGAGGCAGTGGCCAAGGTCTCAGGACCTGGCAGCCCCAGGTCCTTGGGCCTTTGCTCTTTCTATTGCTTCTGCCTGGAATGCTCTCCCCCCACCACCACCCCCCATCCCCAACCTGCCTAATGCAATCTCCTTCAGGAAACCTTCTTAACCAAGCGCCCTGTAAGTCACCCTGTCCTTCTCAAGAGAACCTTCCACATTTACCATTTTCCTGTGACCTGAGGGGCTGAGAAGCTCGGTTCCCACTCCTGCTGTAGCTGGTGACAGCTGGTGGCCAGAGCCCACCGCTGCAGCACGGCAGACCCTCCTGAATGTTCATCAACAGGTGAAGCCTGAATAAGCAATGGTGGGCTCTGCCCCCCTCAACACACACTTACAGGCATGAAAATGGGATCCAAGCTAAAGGTGGAGAGAGTCCCCCTCCTCTGTGTCAAGTGGCCCATGGGAGTTGCCCACTGGCCTCTGATTTTGTACAGCCACCCAGGAATGGGGGTGTCAGAGAAGCCTGCAAGGACGCAGGCCGGGTTGAGAACCCGGATCCTCCACAGCCTCTGGGGTGGAGAAGGGGGGTGCGAGGGGAGGCACGGCGGTTACCCAAGCCCTAATGAGCCTTCATTGCCAGTTTCTGGCACAGTGCGGGCCCACTGGCTGCCTAACACCCAGGGGTCCCTCTTTTCACTGCGACAGCAGGCCCCCAGGGTCAAGGGAAGGGGGGCCTTCCCCGGAGGCCCTGTTATGTTCGGAGACTTTGGCATTCATCACGCCAGGAGTTTATTAAGGGAACTTACATAGGAGGAGGAGGCACATCTTGTGCGAAAAGACAACGTGGTATCCTCCGTCTCCTGCAGGGGCTAAAGTACCGTACAGGACAGGTCAGGATGGAGCAGGTGCTGGGGCATGGCCCGCCCCAGGTGAGGGGAAAGCCTTCCGAGTCAGCGAGGGCAGGGCAACAGCTGTTTCTGGAACCAGCCTCGTGGAGCCTGGAGCGTGGCGCGTGGTGCGGAGCGGATTTGGGGGAAGCGGCCCGCGTTGGGGCGGCATCTAGCTACCGGATCCGGCACCGGTCGTGCCCTAGGACAGTCTCCTCCACACTGCTTCTCCTCATCCCCATCTGCCCACCTCACAGCCCCTCCGGCCAGGTGCGTGGATCAGCAAATTCTTGTTGTAATCTTTTCTATTCCACGCCCCCCCCCCAACACCCTGCCCTGAGAAACTTGGCCTTGGAGAACTAACTGTTCCATCACCCAAGGTCGGCGGCGGCTCGGAGAGTTGGCCGCCTGGAATACCGGTGGGTGGAGGAGGAGAGAGGCCCCCGTAACCCCCGGCCCCCAGGGCCACCACCGCAGCCGCTTGCTTCCCTTGGGAGTCCCGAGAAGTAGTCGGCACCTCGCCTCCCATCCCCCGGCTCTGAAAAGCTTTGCCCGGCGTTCCCGCCCCGCTTCCTGCCCCCGCCCCGCCCCTCGGCGCTATTTAAGGAGCCCCAGGCTCCAGGCGCGGTCCTGCAGGGCTTCTCTGGCCTCCGAGAGTCCCCGCTGCCACCTGGGCCGCCTGGCAGGCAGGCGGTGAGTTGTGGTTGGGGTGGGGGGCCGGGGGGCCACCTGCCACCTGACCAGAGCTGAGGGTTACTGCTCAGATGCTCAGAGGGGGGTCTATGGCCAGGCTTTGTGCTAACAAGGGTCCTACGTTCTTTCATTGTATCCTTACAACCCCAGAGGAAGGAATATTATGATTTCCATTTTACAAGAGAGGAGACTGAGGTGTTAAGAGGTCTTCACTTAAGCGAGGCCCCAGTTTGTAAGAGGAGGTGGGGATTGGAACCCAGGTCTGGGTCCAGAGTCTGACTGGGAACAGCTTTGCTCCTTCTCTCCTTTCCTTCCTCACCCCCCTCCCCCTCCCCTAAGATGTTCTGGGAACTTCGTGGCCTATGCCTCCACCCAGCTATGACAATTGGAGAGTCTAGAATTTGGCAGCAACAGCCTGGCTGGGGCAGGTGGGGCGGGGGCGGAGGGGTGTCGGTTGAGAGGGAAGCAGAAAGGGGACCGGTGGGGCATCCCATACTTAAGAGCACGTTGCCGCTGTTGCTGGCGGGTGGAGCTAATGCGGGATGTGGCCTTTAGGGTCTAACACCCCTCCTACCCAGACTCGAAGGTAGGAATGAGATATGAGGAAGGGAGTGGGGACCTGGAGCTTTGGGCCCCCTGAGAAGCTGAACATAGCACCACCACCCCCTTCCACTGTCTGGGGACAGCAGCATGTCCTAGACGAAAGGGAGGAGGGACATGGCACAGCTGTGTGACCTTGGATAAGTACCTCAAATTCTCTGTTCCCATAGTTTCAGGAGCCTCAACTTGATCTGAATCTTTTGGGGGCTGTGGACACGCTGGGACTCTCAGGGCTGGGAACAAGAGGGACACAGATGTGTGACTAGACACGAACCTAGCTGTACCCTTGCCGGAGCGGAGCTTAGCAGCCATCATCCAAAGATCTGCCTTTAGTCCTGACCACCCTGCTGGGTGTGAGCCCCCAGGCTAGTCCCTTCTCCACCTTGAGCTTCAGTTTCCCTCTAGGTGCCTGGGGCAAGGCAGACCTCACTGCAGGCTGGTTGCTAGGGGGCAGCTGAGAAGGATGCCATGCTGAAGTGTCCTCTGTCTCCCTGCAGACGGAGGCCCAGGAGCCATGGGCGACTGGGGCTTCCTCGAAAAGCTGCTGGACCAAGTCCAGGAGCACTCCACTGTGGTGGGCAAGATCTGGCTGTCGGTGCTCTTCATCTTCCGCATCCTCATCCTGGGCCTGGCCGGGGAGTCGGTGTGGGGTGACGAGCAGTCGGATTTCCAGTGTAATACAGCCCAGCCGGGCTGCACCAATGTCTGTTATGACAAGGCCTTCCCCATCTCCCACATCCGCTACTGGGTGCTGCAGTTCCTCTTCGTCAGCACGCCCACCCTCATCTACCTGGGCCATGTCATCTACCTGTCCCGGCGTGAGGAGCGGCTGCGGCAGAAGGAGTCGGAGCTGCGGTTACTGCTGGGCAAGGACCCAGGCGTGGAGCAGGCGCTGGCAACCGTGGAGCGTCAGATGGCCAAGATTTCAGTGGCAGAAGATGGTCGCATGCGAATCCAAGGGTCGCTGATGGGCACCTACGTGGTCAGCGTGATCTGCAAGAGCTTGCTAGAGGCGGGCTTCCTGTATGGGCAGTGGCATCTCTATGGCTGGACCATGAAGCCCCTGTTTGTGTGCCAGCGCCCACCGTGCCCCCACCGTGTGGACTGCTTCGTCTCTCGCCCCACGGAGAAAACTATCTTTATCATCTTCATGCAGGTGGTTGGATTCATCTCCCTGTTCCTCAACCTGCTGGAGCTGGCGCACCTGCTGTGCCGCTACCTCATCCGGAAACTGAGGGCCCGGCAGGGCCAGGCTGCCCCTCCAGCTCAGGACAGCCCCTCGGGGCCTCATGCTGACCAGATCTTCTACCTCCCCATGGACCAGGAGCCCTCATCCGAGCCATGCCCCACCTACAGTGGGCCCCCATTCAGTGAGCAGAATTGGGCCAACCTGTCTATGGAGAGGCTGGCTTCGTCCAGGCCTCCCCCGTTCGTGGACCCATACCCCCAGAGTAACCAGAACCCCCCTAATAGCTGCATCAGCAATGCTTCCAAGAAGCAATATTTGTAGGAATCTGGGGCTTAAGTCAGCCAGCAGTGGGGCCTGGGAAGTCTGACTGCCTTGGATGCCTCCTTCTTGAAGGCACTGCAGAGATGACCAGGGCAGGGGGAAGCGGGTACTTGCTGGCCATAGGGCCTCATCGTAGGCTGTTCTTGAATGCCTGAGGCCTTCCTGGTGACCAGAGGAACCATGGTTTTCTCTCCAGAAACTCTGTCTGGCTTTGCCCCAGGCACAGACAGAGCCAGCTTGGGGTGCTCCTGGGCGAAGGTGTGGGCCCTCTGGCCTCTTTCACTTGGTTCAGAGGAACCTGGAGCCATGTTGCTCCACCCCCAGAGTCATGGAAGACTCTCCTCCACCCAGGTTGTCCTCACGCCCTCTCCTCACAGGCAAAGGCGGGTCGAGGCTGCTGGGTCGGCCTTGATTACACACACGGAGCCTGCGCGGGATCTGGCCCGTCAGGGGACTTGGTGTCCTGTTCTCATCACTCCTTTCTAGTTGCACTGTTTATGCTTCTAAAATAAACAGGACTTGACCACATGCGAGGTGTGTATATTGACGCTGCTGGGATGTGCATCAGGGCGGGAGAGGAGGGGGGCAGTTGCTTTCCCCAGGCTTTCTTTTCCATCCTGCATCATTTGTCTTGGGCCTCTGCAACCCCAACTCTGGCTAGCACCTTAAACCTTCAAACATACACCTCCTGCCCCTCAGCAGTCTGGAGTCCTAAACGTTCTGTCTTTTGAAATGCCTTGGGCACCATTCCCTCTTCATCCCCACTGCCCCAGCCCCCTCAAAAGCTGTCCCTTAGTCCATGGCCAAAGCAATGTCTGTTCCCGTTCTGTCCCGTGGCCATCCAGTGCCCCAGCCACTCTGGCCCCTGCAGTGTGCTCCCTTACTGGACACACTGTTCCCGAAGCAAGCCCGCCAGCTGAGCCCTTCACAGTTCAACTCCAGTGGGCCCTGCACCTCATCCCACCTCATCCTGGCCCATTGGTAATTGGGAGGCAGCTTTAGATCATTTGCCCCGCTCCTACCTTGGCCCTTTCTGCCCATCAGAATGAGCAGCTCAAGGGCCTGCATCATATCCCCACCATGCACCTACAACTCAGTAAGAACAGACAATGGCAGGATAGCGAGGTAGAAGAGACTGTGGCAGAACCGAATCTTTGCCTCTGAGTCACAAAAGTTGCAGGAAAAAAAATGAACGATTGAACCGGATCTTGACTGGTGAACAGGAGCTCACTGGGGAGGGTAAGAAGATACTGAGTATTTAACAGAGAAAAGTTTGTGCAAAGGCCAGGAGGAGGGAAGGGCCAGGTTGTGGGAGGTGCTTAGGGCCTGATGAGCCCTCTAGGAAATGGGAGGAATGCTGAGGATGAGCCCTGTATTGGTAGAGCTGACCTTCCATGTATGTGAAGATGACTCGGGTGGTGGCGCTTGGAGGCAAGCTGGCCATCCTCCCCTACACCAGGAGATCTGGGGCTGGGATTGGAAGAAGGGATGGGGTCCATCTTACACGGCCACATGCTTCTCCTTGACAGCCTTTTCAGCAGGTTGGCAACCTGGCCCCTCTCTCATCCAGACTGATCTCCAAAACACCAGCTCTGTGTCCCTCACCCCAGAGCTCATTCCCTCACTACTTACCCATCGAGTCTGAATACTCGGCCTGATAAATTAGCAGCCCTCTTATTCTTCCAGCTTCGGTCCCCTTTGTTTCCTCTGAATCCCTGAGATTCCAATAGATCCTCCTGGCTCCCCAAACTCACCCAGTATGTTTCCACCCTGCTCCTTTGCCAATGTGGAGTACCTCTGCCCACACACCCCCCAAACTCCATCAGTCCTTTAAACACTACTCTGCCCTGGAACAGGCAGAGCCTGGGTGCAGAAGGAGGAGTGTGATGAGCAGTGACACCAGAGGGTCCTCAATTTCAATGATGCCTCTGACATGTACAAGGCCATGTGGCCTCAGGTCAATCATTTCACTCCTTGGGGTCTCTATTTTCTCATCTATAAAATTTAGATAACATCACCAGCCTCACAAATGACAAGAAATAAAAATAAGAGAAAGCATATGAGCATGCCTGGCTCCTAGAGCTCATGCAGTAGGATTCAGCCCATGCTCTCCAGCAAGGACATCATAAGTCCTTTCTCCAGGCAACCCTCCCTGACTTCTCCAGCCCATCTCCAGTGATGATCTGTACCTCTCAGGAATCTGGACCACTGCTTAGTGTGAGTTTATTTCAGCTCCTCAGTGAGTCTCTAAGAATAGCCAGGGAGACAGTTCTATCCTCCATGCACCTACCCTGCACTCACTTGCACTATGAGAAGGGACTGAGTTAGAGTAGACAGAAAGCAGGCTGTTCGTGCATTGGAAGGGCATGATCCAGGAGGCTGCTGTTCTCTTCTCAGGATGCACCCCAGTCAGGGTGAGAGGCCAGATCTGCCAGTCAAAGCCTGTCTGTTAGAGCCAGCCCATCCGAGGGCCTTGGGAGCCTGTGTTTCTGGTATGCCCTACCTGTTCCGGCTCATAAAGGTAGAAGAAGACAGGTTTAGGTGAGGAGGGCCTCCCTCCTCTCCCTCAAAGCTTGTCAGCTCTGACCTTGGTGTTGGGACTGCACTCAGTCCAGGGCCCAGGTAGTTGGACCTTCAGCAAGGTGGGGGTTGGGTCCTAAAGTGAGGGCAACACAAACACAATGGCAACTGGGCTGGGGGGTTAAGGGTGGGGACAGTGTGCTGGGGATAGAGGACTACACAGTGGGGTGGGGGCAGTGTTGTAGGGCAAAGACATCCCTTGAAGAGTGACTGTAAGCTTCATCCCATCTGTGTTTATTTCCTAGAGCTGTTATAACAAAGTACCACAGACTAGGGGCTTTAATGATAGACATTTTCTCACAGTTCTGGAGGCTGGAAGTTCAAGATCAAGGCCTGGGCAGGGTTGGTTCCTTCTGAGAGCTGGGAGGGAGAGTCTGTCCCATGCCTCAACCCTAGCTTCTGGTGGGTCGCTGTCCCTCTGACGTTCCTTGGCCTGTAGAACATCACCTGCCTTCATCTTCGCATGTCCTTGGCCCTGTGCTCGTGTCTGTCTCTGTGTCCAAACTTCTTTTTATAAAGTCACCAAACATTTTGGATTAGAGCCACCCTAATGACTTCATTTTAATTTGATCACCTCTGTAAAGACTCTATTCTAAATAAGGTCATTCTGAGCTACTGGTGGCTGGGACTTCAGCATGCCTTTGTGGAGGTACACAGTTCAACCTATACCACCACTCTACCAGCCGCAGCTCACCTCCGAGCCTCGTCGGCGGTGGCCAAGGAGAACCTTAAATGTGTGTTGAACTCAGGCATCTCCTGGTGATGTGGCCTGGATGGAACATGGTGGATTTGCACCTCACTTCTTCCTTCACCTCCTTTGTCCTCCCACCAGCCTATCCCTGACACCACCAAAATCTAAGCTGGGGACAGGCAACTCTCAGTCACAGAAAGTGCCATAGGAGGCTTAACCCCGGGCTCCCATCCTTCACAGCCACCTGACCATGGTCCCTCTCCCTCTCTGGGCCTCGTTTTCCCCATTGTGAAATAAAAGGATCAGATGAAAAGCCGGTATGCAGCAGTGAGGTACGGGGAGCACTGCACGGAGTACTGCTTCACTAATCATTCATCTGAAGGTCATAGGTGATTGACTTAGAACAGATTCAAGATTATTTCTATAATGGGATAAATCCCAGTCACTTCAATTCACATTGCCTCCCAGTGTAAGAAAAAAGGGGGTGGGGTCACGTGGAGTGCACTGGGAATTCTGCATAACCCCAGGCCATCTTATCTGGGACCCAAGGGAGCATGAGAACGTCACCACGGGCCACGCATAAACAAAGCAGGGAGCGGCTGGGCTGAGTGACGTGGAAACTTCTTTCCAGCCCTGGCTAGTGTGGCTCAGTAGATTGAGCAGCAGCCTGTGAACCAAGAGGTCACTGATACCCCGTCAGAGCTTATGCCTGGGTTGCAGGCCAGGTCCCCAGTTGAGGCTGTGCAAGAAGCAACTGATTGATATTTCTTTCTTTATTACTCCCTCCCCCTCTCTCTAAAAAGTAAATAAAATCTAAAAAAAAAAGCTTTTTTCCAACTGAACATGCTGGTTCATTAACCACTAGAGTGCTGACCTCATGATTCTCCCAGTGACCTCCAGAGCCTCAACTGGGGGTCCTCCATTTCCTTTTTACAGTACCCTCCGCATGACCACTGGCATTCGCAGGAAGAGAAATCCATCGCAGAACCGTTGGAACTTCTGTCTCTTCCTTCCAGCTTTTCCCACAAGCCCTGGCTCCGACCTCAAAGGCCGCACGAGACTCAGCTATTCTGCTCTTTTCATATAAGCACTGCAACCCACAGCCACCAGGCCCATTCCCAGCCTGCTCTTCTGCTCCTCCAGCTGACTCTCCATCTCCAGAAGTCTCTGGCCAACCTGCAGTTTATCTGCTTTCCTCTCTATCCATGTCACCCTCCCCTGGGTGCTGCTAGACATAATACTCCAAGTAATCAGAATCCAGATCATCACCTCTCTTGCCTCAAGACTTCTATCATAATTTTTTCATTGAATTTATTGGGGTGACATTTGTTTGTAAAACCATTCAGGTTTTAAGTTTACAACCCAATAAAACACTGTCTGCACACAGCATCATGTGCCCATCACCCCAAGCAAAGTCTCTTTCTGTTCCCATCCCCCACCTTTGCCCAGCCCCCATTCCCTCTGGCTATCACCACACTGCTGTCTGCCTTTGTGTTAGGTATATATGATTTTTTGGTTAATCCCTTCGCCTTCTTATATCCAGTCCCCTAACTCTCCTCCCCCCATAGCTGTCAGTTGGTTCCATGTATCCATGCCTCTGTTTCTACTTTGTTTGACAGTTTATTTTGTTCATCAATTTATTTTGTTCATTAGACTCCACATATAAGTGAAATCATAGGGTATTTGTCTTTCTCTGACTGGCTTATTTCACTTAGCATAATAATCTTCAGGTATAGGGAACCCATCCACTTGGTATGGCAAATATAGCCCAGCCCCTGATTCGGAAAACCTATACAGATCAAGGTCAGCACACAGGAGCCAAACCCATGGATCTGTTTCTCCGTGCGGAATCAGGCCGGCCTTGTACCTAGGCTGATATGAGGCTTGCTTTTGCTAAAACTCCCTTACCCTGAATTGAGGCAGGAAATGTTTACTGCATGTCTTTAAGGTAACTCCCTAAAGTCTGTGCTAAACCTCCCAAGTATGGAGTGTAATCAGTTCAACCACTTTTCCCCTTGATCTGCAACATCCTTCTCTTTGAAGTAGTTAGCAACATTCTTTCCATTGTTATCTGTAAAAGGTAATCACCTACAGTGAACCTATGCATAGTAAAGAGGACCAACTTCGAAGTAATGTACCCAGAAAAGCAATCAAAACCTGTCCAGGTTGGGGTTGGAGCCCTCTCTGTCACTTAGAGAGTGGCCATGCTGTTCCTTTTTCTCCACAGAACTTCTGCAGTCCATGTGAATTTGTTCAT